TTCCAACGCCTTCGATGCTTGTTGCCTCCTGGGAACACGAGGCGGGTCTGGGCCCGCGCTGCAGAGACGGCGCCGTTGCAGGATGGCTGCTGTGTTTCCTGGGATTACTCCTCATCCCCTACCCAACCCTGTGGCTTGTCATGTCTTCACAAAGTTGTGTTGTGGACATTCATGTGCTTTTTTGTGCAGAGGAGTTTTTTTGTTTCCTGTTCCCGTGCTGTCCTATCATGGAAGCACAGCATGAGTGGAAGTCTCTTTTTTTCCTCTTGTACCTTCCTGTTGTGTGTATATTTCAGTGTTTTTCTGTAACGCTACCGATCTCCGACTTGTAACCCCATGTAATGTTTGTGTTATGTGTGTAAGGTCGGGAGGGGGGTCCCATTTCACTGCAGGGCAACCTGTATGTGACAAATAAATAAAGCTTTCATTCATTCATTCAATCCCAGAAAAAAAAGAGCACAAAGTAAGCACCATTCACCGTCTATTTATAGTCTGGCTACGGACAGAAAATGTGTGAAGTTAAAGCTCGATAAACTTACTCATCACTTTCCTATACACACCTTGGAAGGCTGCCAAAGCCCACAGACAGGTGACTGGACTGAACGTCTGCAGTGAGGAATCTGGCGGCTGTGTCCCAGTGCATTGTGGTTCCACTTGTGTCCTTATTGCACCATTACCGCAAGTCCACACAAAGCTTATCAATTGTTAAAAATTCAGCAGTGATAAGGGTGCTTGTTATCAGCACCCATGTGGCACACGGACAGCTTGATATGTGCAAAATAGATGGGATTCGTCTCCTTCGCAGCCACGAGACTTCAGCCCAGTTGAACCTCTGTGAGACATTTTGCACCAACGTGTTAAACAGTTCTGTGAAACTCTTACTGCAGCAAGCGGTGGTGCATCGCCTTACTAAGGTTCACCATGTTAGCTTTCATTTGTCTGTACATTAGTCTGTTGGCGTGACTTGGATTTATCGAGTGGATCATGTTAGTGTTAACTGACAAACTGCAGTAATTAAAACCAGACAATTACACACATCTGCACTTTTGAACCATGATTATCTGAGACAGCAGTGCTTTGCAATATTTAGGCAATATGACTGTAGCACAGAAGGTTACGTAAACGTAATTCCAGTGTTATGTAACTATGTGGGAGTGTTAGTTGCAAGTGTAAGTGAAAAAGTTGTGGGACAAAACTGATATGCAAGTGCGTTGTAAAAGCCTCCTATACTTTGGATGCTCGTTTAAACATTTACATTTGAGCAAAGGGCGCCATCTATCGGGCAAATGACAAACTGCAATCTCTGTGTCAACGCTGTCACGAGCATAGAAGCGACTCAAACTTTGCCAAGTTGTTAAAACACCAGGGAAACTGAGGGATATACGAGTGCCTTTTATATAGCAGCCATGCTCTGCATCCGTGAAACTAAT